CGAGCCAAAAGAGCCGAATCTGTGAAAAGAGCCGGACTTCCCATCACTAGTATCTGGTACTACATAAAAATACTGTAATGACCCCCGGCGTGGAGGAGAGAAACTAACTATACTGAAACAGTTAAACTAGCTACACCAGGTCCCACACATACACCGGATACTCTGGATAGCGCTTGGGCGTGTCCTTCACAATGACCACAACGCAACACTGACTTCTCGGGAATTTTAGTCAGCCATTTTCCCCAGGGTCAGGGTCACACATACAATTCAAACTTACGGTTCAAAACACAGCACAGCAACCAACTAGCAAACATCGTCAGACAACACACCAGTACAAGTCGGCAGCATCAACACACAACAACAATGTAACACATCAGAACACTTTAACAATAATTTTATAACTGCTCTCTGAACTAATTACTGAACTCCCATGATGCCCCTTTGCATCATACCGCTGCCCCCCCAATGGCTAGCGTAGATCTTCACAATTCTAAAGCAATCAAATCAATTTTAGTGCTAATCTTTTGCATATCTAAGACTCTACTCACCACCAAAACCCCGCCCTCCTATTTATTATATGGAAAATAATTCATTTTTGGTGCTTTTTATAATAAATATTTCATAATTCACACCATAAACTAGCATTTATATGGGTTAAAATCCTGAGAATGACTGAATGTTTGGTCGTTTTGAGCAAGTCAGAAGTTGTTTAAGTGATTTATGAAAAAAATAAAAAATATTGATGTATGATGATTTAATAAGTTTTTTGTGCGTTTACATTTTTGGCACGAATCTGAAAAGAGGGTAGTACATTTAAGTAGGACACAAGAGTTAGGTTTGTGCTGTAAAGTTACTTAGCTACTAAAGAGCCAGCGACATCCGGTCACCAACCAGCCTCCCTGACCCCGACCAAAAAATCCTGAACTCAAAAATGACGAAAAGGTCTCAGCACTACAGAGATCAGATCTGTATTCTGAAGCAACAACTGTTTTTACAAAAAACAACTTACCTCTAAATGCACATTTTAGCGTTTCCTCTTCTGGGAGTTTACTGTGTCTGCGCCACTACTTTCTTCTGGACGCGGGGCATTGTGCGTCTCTGCTCTGGCTGGAACTGGAACTGGGAGGCTACTGAGATTTTTGGGACGGGGGAGGGGCTCACGGAGGCACCCGCTGCACGTGCTTTCACGTCATTCTCCAAAACAAAAAGTCGCTAGATTTGTCGCTAGTCGCTTTTGACAAAAAAAGTCGCTAAGAGGATTTGGAAAGTCGCCAGATTTAGCGAGAAAGTCGCCAAGTTGGCAACACTGCCACAGTTCATGGGTGGATGAAGCAAAATGAAAGCCCAGCTCCAAATGCAAATGGGAGGCAATATACTTTTTCAAACCTGGGGCTACTGCACAAAAGTAGAATTATTGCTGCATGAATGCTAGTTCACTATCTAGGTTTTGTGAAACAGCCTTGTGGGGTGACTGATCAGGAGTAAGTAGACAGGTTTTTGGGATGGGGGAGGGGCGCACGGAGGCACCCGCTGCACGTGCTTTCACGTCATTCTCCAAAACACCAGAAACGTCTCCAGTAACACCAGAAAAAGTCGCTAGATTTGTCACTAGTCGCTTTTGACAAAAAAAGTCGCCAGATTTAGCGAGAAAGTCGCCAAGTTGGCAACACTGCCACAGTTCATGGGTGGATGAAGCAAAATGAAAGCCCAGCTCCAAATGCAAATGGGAGGCAATATACTTTTTCAAACCTGGGGCTACTGCACAAAAGTAGAATTATTGCAGCATGAATGCTAGTTCACTATCTAGGTTTTGTGAAACAGCCTTGTGGGGTGACTGATCAGGAGTAAGTAGACAGGTTCAAAGCTATACCAGAAATTTATATCAACTAAATCATAAAGTCAGGTTTCAACTGAAGGCTTTAAAAACTGAGAAGGACCACAAAAGGAGCAAGTAAAACTGAACTAGGTGTTTAGGTAAAAACTCAAAGCAGAACTTTTTTAAAAAGTGAAAATATACAGGTTCAGATTATTGATATTTTCAGGGAATATATAAAAAAGATTTTCTCTGACTCAGGAAAAACACTTTGCAAGCACTACTTACACACAGATCACAGTGGCATCATCGAGTTTCACAAAAGACTGTCACTGAAAAGATGCAAATAAGTTTTAACACAGGTCAGAGACACTCAATGTTGTTTTAAATAGGCAAAATGTGTCAAAATAAGCGAAAAAAGATCTTATAAGGCAAATCTGGTGAAACAGACCCCCAATTCAAACCACATGAAGACAATTCTGTTCAAAAAGGTAGTTTTAATCAGTAATGAAGTAACTCAGCACAACTCATTTGAGTTTTATAAACTGTAAATTACAAAACCATGACAGAAACAAAAAATAAATAAAAATAAAACAAACCCTGTAAGCAGAATTGACAAAATGAGTTAATGTGTACTAATCAAAAACAGTTTCACCTAATTAGAACTATATAAAAGTTTAAATCCTAAAATAAAAAGGGATGTCCTGTGAGTCAAAAGCAAAGATCAGATTTGTTAAACTGGGCTTTAAATAAAGGAAAATGCTATTTATTCTTCCAACATTTCCACCATTGCTCTTCATTCTGACCTGCAAAAGGTTTTCTTTACTTAAAGATGCATTTTTCTTTGAATTTTACTAATTAACCTCAACAGCATAAAATCTAATAATCCAAGTTGTGTGTCAGGGTAGAGAATCTGTTTTCATTAGCAAGGACCCAGGAAATGTACACGTCAGGGTTAGTTTTTGAGAATCACCTCGACTTTAAGAAATGTCCTGTTGTCCAGTTAGTCTGACGCATGTAAAAAGCTGACACTGTTGAGTTAATCTGAAAATCTACATGAGTCACATGTTAAAAAACAATCATATAAAAAACAGCTCGGTGTGAAGCTATGATATGAATGAAACTCATGAAAAAGGAGCTTTTCAGGCATTTCTGCCGAAGTTCTTCCCTCATGAAGTTTTGCAGTGGCTCCACATTATTCTTCATGTGATGAGCTGGGAGGAAACATTTAAAGCATGAAGAGAAAACAAAGAGAAACATCTTGCAGCTTGTGCAGGCTGCTAATAATGCTAAATGCATTTGGGTTGCATTCATGTAAACAAGAAGAACATGCAAACAGCAAAGCATCTGGACTATATCAAACTTAACTAAGTTATACAAGTGTGTGCAGGAACACTGATGACACATGCAAGTTCATGGGGACTGTGCAGAGTCCGCAGCTAAGAGTCAGTGTGCTGAGGATTGCTCAGGGATACTCATTTACATTACATTACATTAGTATGGTATGTTTCATGAAAATATAAAGATTTACATGCTTTTGTTAACACTGTAAAGACCTATTGTGCACTTTATAAACATTCTATTCTTGAACTGATCATGTATGTTTTGTTTAATAATGTACCACATAGAAACATCACAAAACAACTTTTTAAATGAGTGCATTGTTTTTATACATCTGATTAATCGTAGAAATAATCAATTATTTATTAAAACTGTCCTTAGTTGCAGCCCTACTGTAAACAGTACCTCCTGCCATAGCGGTACTTTCTGGATTAAGACTTCGTCCTCATGTTGATCCCATAATTCTTTGTGTTTTAACTGCTCTGTGAAATCACTGCAGACAGTTTGACTTTTTGTGACTATTTCATACCCAGTACTGAAACTTTCCACACAGTGTCCAGCCAGGGACAAATATTAGTTTGTCTATTAATCTATTCTTTTTTTTTTTTAAATAAGCCATCATTTTAATTTTTAAATTTCATCAATAAATTGAAGGCAGTGAAAATTAGGGATGTACTAATACTCACATTGAAGAAAGCAAAACCTGAATTTTATTATTATTTGCCTGGTAAATTACTTGATTATTACACCTACTACTGCTAATCTGAGCCGATCTTTAGATGATTAATCAGTTCAACACTTGATAAAATCTAACAACACAAATTATCAAAACTAACTTTAGAACAAGATCTTACTAAGCATCAAACACGATGTGGGGAATAAACAGACATCTGAGATTTGGATTTGTACTTTCATGCAAAATCAAACTAAAATAAATATAAGATACTAAATTTGTTTGAATAAATATTTTAATCCTCCTGAATGTTTTTGTTCAAATCAATAAGCAAACATCATCAGTAAATACCTAAAATGGATATAATGACATAAAACCACAAACCAAAAAGCAGCAGGATAGCGAGTAACCCATGGAGAGAGCAGTGTTGTTTTAGATCTGTAATCATGAGGACTGCAAAAGCAAAAAGTGTGTGTCATTGTGTTTGTGTGCTACTTACAGATTTGACGGTCTGTTTGATGTAGTCCTTCTTGCTGGCCAGGTCGTGGTCTGGGAAGGTGTCAAACACCTAAAGGAAGTAAGAGATGTTTTCCATGACACAAGAAAATATTCATTCACTTCAAAAATATACACAACAGCCAGACACTACTTCGAAATGGCAAACTATCGCCCAGCTCACTCACAGCATGATGCACAGGGTAAAAACCCTGTTCCATTAGAGTGGAGGCATTAACATCTACACTGTTTAACACAGCAGTCAGAGAGAAGACCTCCTGCCTGAGCCCTGTGTGTGTGAAGCTTCGTACCCTCTGGCAGATCTGTTTCATGGTCATCTCCTCCAGGTTGGCCTCCTTCAGCAGGCTCTGCACTGTCTCCTTCAGCTGTTCATCAGTCGGCGCCTTTTTAATCATATTGATGAGTGGCTCGTCGTCATCTGAACTGTCCTCTGCTGCAGGGGGAGAAACAGGGAAGGAGGGAACAATGAGAGCATGCTCCACTGTCCTCCTGACTCACACAGGCAGACTCATCAACACAGCAGCTACTGCAGTTTCCACTTAACCCGGTGTTCTTGCCTTCTACAGTACTGACTCATACTGCAGGCTATCTATATATGAATAAAATAGGAAAATGACTACTGCTGTGAGATATAAAAAACAAAACTTGAATCGAAAAAGGAGATTGTACAGTTATTCAATCTAATGCAGTTACTCTTAAAACACAACAATCATCATTAATAAAACAAAAAGCTACAAACTGAATTGACATGCCTCCATCCACTTGTTGAACCATTACATCACAATACTGTTACACAGTCAACATTTAAAAGCTTTGGATGAAAACTTTATTATGAATAATCTACACAGTTGTCTGCTAGAAGACATTATGTCGGCTCTATAATCATCACCACCCTGATTAAGGTGCCCTCACCTGCGTTTGTGTTTTTGCTGTTGCTGCTACTGTCAGCCTTTTTTGTTTTGGCAGCCGGTTTGGCGGGAGCTGCTCTCTTCTTTTTAGGCTAGAAAAAAACAGACAAACATTAGGTGACCAGCATCACATCTGAGAGAGAATCAAATGAGGTGAAACAAACTCTGCATGATTATGTGGAAGTAAAAATATCTCCTGTGGAAAAACTCAGCTGCTCAGTCAGATATCAGGACGGGTAAGGACAACCTCATCACGTTACAAGAAACCTTCTTATTCCAATATCAAAGGCCTTAGTCATTAAGTGGTTAATCGGCTAAAAAAAATGACAACACAAATTGTACATTTTACATAATAATAGCATTATTATTGACATGGAACAAAACTGCTACAAAAGCCAAGTAAATTAAATACTTGAGCAGTAAATTAGACAAAATTCAAATAATTTTACCAACATAAGACTTTTAGCCACTATTCATCAAATAAACATGGAAGATCGTTTACTTCTGGGCTTCACTGGAGGACACAGATGAGATGGGATGAAACGCGTTGGACAGATCTAACATTTAAAGTAACATCACATTCGAGCTTTACCTTCTCATTAGTCTCACTGTTGACCTCAGACTCGGACTCGTCTGAAACGTCTTCCTTCCTCACTCTCTTCTTTGGAGGCCCTGTCTTCTTTGCTGGTGTCCTCTGTCTTTTTACTGGTGCTGATTTCTTGGATGCAGATTTCCCTCTGGCCAACTTTGATCTGGAAGACTGACAAGATGTTTGTAGATTAAAAACTGAAATGGCAACTGAAAGAAAATGATCCCTCTTGTTTCAAGACTACAAATCGATCCATCGCTCTTTGTTTGGTATTATTGTTATGAATCTAGTTTGAGTTTTATTTTTATGAAATAAGAGTTTGAAATTGCAAAAGTTTGTGCTGTACCTCTTATATCGGAGGTGCAACTAACAACCGTTTTCATCATCACTTAATCTGCTGCTCATTTTCTTGAATAATCGTTTGATCTGGAAAATGTCCAACAATAATTAATGTTTACCACAGTTGGCCAGAGCCCAAGCTCTGTCCACACAACCATCCAAAACACTGAGACATTCACTTTGCTATCACATAAGCAAACTAAACAAAGAAAATAGGAAATGTTCAGTGTTCCTCCATTAAAAATAACTTACATTATTCACTTAATCATTGTTAGGCTCTTCACTCAAAAATGTAATATATTACTCATTAGGGGTGGCAATCCTGATAAAATCAGCAGGAGGAAGCTCGAATATAGTGTTACCCGCCCAGATCTGCAGCCCCAAACTGTAGTTGGGAACCTCTGGTTCATGGCTAAGCTTTATCCCTGGCTCGTAGCCGGTAACAAGCCTTAGAAGTCGGGCTTTTCCAGCAGAAAGAAGTGAAGAGGGTGGCCAGCTAACTCTGTTCAAAACACAGGCTTTATCTCACCTTGGTGCCACAAACACTGCATGTGGCCTTTGGAGCCCAGTTATGTCTATACACTCAGAGCTGACTACTGTCTGGCTGCCATGTAAACGGAGTCTGTTCCGTGCAATTCAAGAAATGTAGCAAAAAAAATGCTTCTGAAAGGATTCACCAACCAAACCTTTAATATTCCTTTGATCAGTCAATCAACTTATCTACTAACTGTTAGCTCCTATTTGTGGATTTACTGGAAATGTTGGTTTCCAGTTTTGTGATCAGCATAGACATCCTCACCTCATCATCTTCCTCTTCCTCCTCCTCTTCTTTGTTTTCAGACTGGTCTGATTTGTCAGACTGGTCCTCCTCTTTCTCTGACTGTTTCTCTTCTGCATCTGATCCCTCGGCCTCAGCTGAAGCCCCCGCCTTCTCGTCTTCCTCATCGTCATCGTCGTCGCTGCTGGAGTCCATGACAATGGCTTTGGACTTGCTTCCCGTTTTGGATTTTTTGGGACTAGATGACGAGCTCTGGGGTTTGGATTTGCTCTTCTTCTTGGTCTTTGCATTTGAGTCGTCACCGGTCAGTTTCTTCTTTGACTTCCTCTTTTTCTTTATAGGCACACGCTACCAAAGGACAAACAGTGAAAGTGATGAGAGAAACTTCAAAGTGTGAAACTTAAACACAAAATTCACCTTACTTAAAACTTTAACATTGAAGTTTAAATGTATTTAAGCCTGTAAATAATTACACCAACAAAAAACCATGACACAGAGCCTCAAACAAATAGTTATAAATTAGGGACCAAACTACAGACCACTGCCTACTGAAAATACAATTGTGTGACAATAAATGATTAGATCGAGCGTCACCTTCCCGCTGTTCTTTGGTGCGACAAGGAAAGTCAGGATCCTGTCAACCAGATCTGTGTGGGTTCCTTTCTTCTCCAGGTCCAAAACACCACAGACAGCTTTTAGCTTAGTGTTGGTAAAATGTGAATTCCTGCAGTAAAAAGAACAGGAAAAAAAAGAAACAGTGCCCGTTGTTCACTCTAAAAAAAGAGAGCAGGTTCATCATTCAACCAGTCCTTCTTCTTTGCCGTTTGGCTGAAAAGCTGAAAACTACGGGGATTAAACACAAGGAAAATTTAACAGTGACAACATCAACTGATATTTACACAGAACGAGCCATAATGTACAAGGAAGTTTAAATCTAATATGGAGAAAGGAGACTACTACTACTTCTTTGTTTCTTCGGTTCATCGGGAAAATAACTAAACTTAAATAAAAAAATTAATAAATCTGAGGATTTGGAGCATGATAAACAACAAAGGCCCAACATGTCTAATGAACAGCTGCTTACAGCCCTAAACATCTTTTCACATGCTTATAATTTAGAATAGTTTTATCTTAGCAGTCACAAAATACTGAAGTAGTTGTGGCTCCTCTATATGTGCACACAACTACATACTGTATATGAAGAGATGTTCCTGTAAAGAACATGAGTTGCAGAACTCAAACTTATGTAAAACTTTGATTCCAACACAACTGAAAAGGCTTACTTGAGAAGTTTTTCTCGTTTTTTGGTATACTGTTCACTGTCAGCGTCAAAGGGAAAGCCGTTAAACAGACGCAGGTTCTTCTTCATTGTGGCCATCTGTTAAAAGAGCAAAAGGATCAGTTAGTGTACTAAAAGTTATCTCTTCCTAATTCCATCCATCCATTATCTATACCACTTATCCTAACAAGGGTTGCTGGAGCCAATCCCAGCTGACTCTGGGCAAGAGGTGGGGTCCACCCTGGACAGGTCACCAGTCTGTCATAGGGCTGACATGTAGGCAAACAACCACATACACTCATACTCCCTCCTATGGGCAATTTAGAGTCACCAATCAACCTACGAAGCATGTCTTTAGACTGTGGGAGGAAGCCAGAGTAACCGGGGAGAACCCACGCAGGCACAGGGACAACGTGCAGGTATTTGTACCTTTCCAGGTCTGTCGAACAAGATGGTGTGCAGAGGTTTCAGATCAGCTGGCTTCATCTTCGTGATCTGGAAGCTGGTGCGTGGAATGTCTCCCAATTTATCTCCACTGCCTGAAATGATGGGAGATGAAAAAGCCAACAGTTTTCATGCCTGCATGGGTCATCTTTAAATGACAAATAATCACATCCAGGAATCTCATGCTCATAGTTATATATCATAGTTATTTCATATATATCATAGTTATTTGCCATCTCCAATCTTGAGCTTCTCCTTTTGCTTGGGTGCCTGGAAATCGAGCCTCTCGACTGTCTTCTTCGCCCGTTTGCCCTCAATGATTTCACCTCCAGCTGCAGCGACACAGTGAGAATGAGAAGAAATCAACATTACTGTTTCATACAGGCAACAAGCGAAAAACAGGTAAAAAATTTTCCACATGTCCTTCCAGAGTAAAGACTACAGCAACCACTTTTAATGAACTGAAGTCAACAACTAACAGTAAACCATAATGAATCACAGGTTAGGACCTATGCCTTTGTAAAGTGTAACAACCAGGATGTAGCCTGTGACAGTGCCCTGTATGAAAGGTACAAACATGGTTTGAAAGCATTTTACTGCATTATCAATGTCAATGTTGTTGACTTCAGTTCATTAAAAGTGGTTGCTGTAGTCTTTACTCTGGAAGGACATGTGGAAAAAGAGGGCGTACCTGGTATTTTGGGGTGGCTTTTGTTTGGACTAGACTCTTCCTGTGACAACTCCCGCTGGTCCTCCACTTCCTCCTCTGAGACCGCAGAGCTGTCCATCGCTTCCTCCGCCACGTCACTCATATCTGCCTCAGTCTGCACAAGTATCAGTCTATCCTGTGTTGGTCTGGTGATGACTGTGTTTTACAGAGACAAGCATGCACACAATCCAAATCAAATGCTACTGCAACTGTGTTAACAGATATGATACATATGGACAGATGTGAACTCAAACATGCACATGTATAACAAAGTACATAACTTCTCTTTTGTATTTTTCCCCATTGAGGGCAAAGTTTAAACTCTCTTTCCATTTAATGATTGAGGTTGGTTTATCCCCACTCACTACTTTGTGTCACTAATAGAGAAGGGTGGGTGATACCGAAGCTCCGGAGATTATTTCACTGCAGTGAAGCACAATGTTTTGGTAATAACAGTATAAATAAATAATAACGTAATAAAGTTGATAGCATTATTTAAAGAACATTTTTTATAATTACATCACATTATGATTAATATAGTAAGTTAATATTTAACTAGGCTTATTGGATAACTTTTTTTTACTGCAATATCTACTTTCAAGTACTCCAGAACAAAAGCATGATAGATTTAATACCACACGGGCTTCTTAGAGTTTTATTCTCACACATGAATCTTAATCAGTGAGGTCTTTTAGGACTGCTAAGTTACAAGTATCACAAACCAGATGTCACTGTACTTGTTTTGCTTAAAGACCCACAAAACTGCATTTACTTTCAGGCAAAAACAGAAGAAAAGTCCCAACGCTTTAAAAGGCTTCACTAGTGTAGATGGTTGGACTGTTTAAGTACACACACACCGCATAACACTAAGCAAACAAGCAAAACAAATTTAAGTAAACGGGGTTTGGTATATTAGAAATATGTCGAACTGTAGTTTGGCTTTTAATAATCGTTCAATGTTAGGACAGACATTTGTTAATATCTGTTTTTACCAGACAGATGTTTCTATCCATAAAACGCATACAATTTTCAATAGTGTCTGGTAGCTCGGACAGATGGGCACTTTACCGTAATTTCACGTTAAATACGCACATCTCCTGCGTTTAATCCAACTTCTATCTGGGGAAGAAATAAGACTCACTAACCTTTCTAACACTTCTCGGGAAACATTCGTCTGTTTATGTCCTCCATACTGTTCAGAGTTATGTAGTTTTGTGTCTTAATACCTCCACAATAAACATCCGTGATGATTGGCGCGCTGCAGCTCTGCGCTATGCAATTCAAAGACATTAGCTATCTTAAGTTAGCCCGCTATGACGCTAAGGGGTAACTAGTTCACTTTCACGTCTGCGCCACCTCATTTGTTGGTTTGTTAGGCGTTGTTTATTATCTATATGCTGGTGAGTCTACAGGGCAAACCGAGCGTTAATGTTTGTTAGTAGGCTATAAGCTCTCCATGCAGCTAGCCACTGCTTGCTAACACTGATGTTAGCTACTTTAATGTTACTGACCACCACTCACAGCTGTGTAGTAATTAGAAATTGCGATGTGGATAACTTATAACCTGATGCAACAAACTCCGCATAAATGTCACAAAACAGCCAGAGTCTCACTACTTGACATAACAGAATATTAAAACTCCACCTTGTTGTGAACCAGAAAACTGCGTTTCACCTGTCAGTTTCTTGTTTTTGATTTCATGATGGCGGTTTCTCGGAGGGGCGGGTATTACTCCGGCGGCCACTTCACTGATTGGACCGAGGACTGATGACGTGTATTTCTTCGAGTTAGATATAGTGGCTCGAGCCCACTACCGCCCTCTTGTGTTGCTACCGCCACCTTTGCAGTCTCATAAAATGAGAGCGAACGCTACACAATAATAATAATAATAATTATTATTATTATTAGAGGACTCTGTGCACTTTGCAGTGATTGTTACTTGCTGATATTTACTGATGTGAAATCATTATCGCTTCTATTATGGTGACAGAGCCAAGACGAGTGGGCAATTGGGTAGACCTGGGTAGACTGATGATGATAATATTAATAATAATAGTAAAGTAAGTTACAAGTTACACAAAAATCTGTTTAACACACAAAACATTTTAGGCATTTGTGCTATATTTTACAATTAGTGAGTAAAACATTATTTATCTTTCTAACTTTATTATTGACTGCAATGTTAATTTGTATTTAGGCTTTTTTTCATTGTATCATTTTATAAACACAGGAGATACATTTATCTTTTTGCCCTCTGTGGAGCCTCATTATTGCTTTGTCAGTGTGCTGGCAGCATTTCTGTGTATGGGGCATGTTTTTGGCCACACTAACGCAAACCTTTTCAGCTGTAAGTCTAGCTTAATGCACTGTAGGGCATCAGAATGCACCAATACCACACTCAAAAGCGACATAATTTTATTTGTATGTTGGCATTTCTGAGTGCAACATGAACATCCTAACTCTGGAATAATCAGAAAACTTTTGCTTGTTACTGGTCAGATGCCAACAAATTGAAAAGTGATTACAGGTAGAGGACAGACACAGCATTACAAGAGCATGGTTATTATCAGTGTTCATACTGACATTTGGAACTTTTTGTAGCTCATAATAACACCCACCTCAGTGACCTCTTTTCAGTTCTATCTGTGTCCATGTACCTATTATTGTCCCAGTTCAGCAGCTGAAGGATCCTACATCTGACACCCAGTATGTGGATGAATAAAGAGTCAGGACAGCAGTGATGTGCAGCATCAGCACGTATATCCAGCTGCCAGGTTGATGTCTGCATGCTGCTGTAATTACTACTGGAGATGTAAATCATAGCTGGAGGTCAGTAGGCTGGGAGGAAAGGTCAGGAACCAGAAGAAGATCCAAACATCCTCACATGTCTCATTGCAGGAATCGTGGCAGGAATAAAAGGTTTCTTTTCATGTATTAGGTTTTCATTTCCAATATTATACAATTACAACCCAATCTTAATTACACTGAATTATTCTTATTTGTATCAATCCTGCCCAACAATCATGGAGCATTACAGTTGACCAGGCCAGTGTTTATTGAAGATTTTATGTCCTACATTGCTGCTGATCATTTTCCAAGTGACTGCAGGATAAATACTTATATAAGTGTTTATTTGTCATATGCACAGTTAGGACATGTGTTTCTCTGTACAATGAAATTCTTACTTTGCCCTATATACAGTATAACTTATATTACTACTTATAAATATTATAAAATTATCACTTATATAAGCTAAGTACTTCTTCATGTACTGACAACAACTTACAGTATAAAAAACCCAACATTAAATTAACATTTTACAGGACACTTTCTAATAAATAACAATAGAAAGAAAGATACTCTTAGATGATAGATTTATAATTCCACTTAGATTTTACATTTTTAGATCTCCAGTTGTTTCTGATTTTTGTGAGAACATCAAAACAATAATTATTGGAATATCATAATTAATATTTATTTTTGTTGACAAGCTTATTAGAATATACACTAGTCTATAGTGTATAAAACCTGCCTGCTGTGGCTGTATGCTGGTGTTATGCAGGACACATGGTGGTGCTGTGGGAGTAGCAGTATGTGCGAGAAAAGTGGAGCAGCTCCTTGATTTCCACGTAGCTTGATTAAGAAAATAGAAAACCTGAGTGTTGCCTGGCAGCAGCATCCCAAACTGAATGGAGCCCTCCATCCAGTCATGTATGGAGCGTGATTAGTGCCACACACATGGCCATATCTCTATATTTTTCTTACTGTCAACAAGTTCCATGAAACGGTGGCTGTGTCCTAGACAAATGCACTGTTCACTCCTGTTTGTTTGATTAAAAGAAAATTAAACTAAATTTTAATGTACTGCTTCTAAGGTGTTAAATATAGTAGAAAAGAAAGGAAATGATTAGGAAACAAATAAATGTGGAAATAAATAGAAGTAAATGTAAAAAATAAAGAAATAAATGTATAAATAAATAAATGTGGAAAAGATATGCAGAAGTAAAAACACAGAAATAAACAAATAAAATAAATGTAGACATAAATGCATATAAAGAAACTGAGAAAATACATAAAGGAGTAAATGGTTATTTGTTTATTTTCTTCCATGTCAATTTTGGCACCCATACGATAAATGCCAATTGTGATTATGTATAAATCTCATTACTAGAAATGTTATATATTTATTAGTTTATTTATTTCTGCATTTATTTATTTATTTGTTTATTTTATAGAAGCCTCCTTCAGCCCATACATTCTCCATGATAATGGGTCCACTGATTTCTGTGTTCACCTTTTAGTAAAAATTTGTCCCACTTTTCAGATGAAAACAGACAGTAGAGGCATCAAAAGACATTTGAGAGACAAACATTACTGAGGTAAAAGAAACCCAGATCTGGACAGTCTGTGATAACGTAAAAGGTAAATGGTCTTATACTTGTATAGCGCCTTTCTATGCTTTACAGTACACTCAAAGCGCTTTCATACTATTTGGCCATTCACACACCAGTGACATCACCAGGAGCAACTGGGGGTGTACAGTGTCTTGCTCAAGGACACTTCGACATGTTGACTGGACAAGCCGGGAATTGAACTGCTAATCATCCGGTTAGGAAACGACCTGCTCTACCTCTTGAGCCACAGCCACCCCAGAGAGGTGAAAGGAGCATATACTGTACACCCTCCTCCTTCAGTGTGACATGAATTGCCCCCCATACCTTCACCACTCTGTTTTAAAAGCACACCGCGAATCCCAGAGACCAGAGAGCTGAGGCTGCAGGAGGCTTCGTGTCGTTTTTATGAACTGATCTGGAGACTTCTCCCTGGATCTTAGCATGCACATAACCCTCTTGTCCATCTCGCTCATCATGTAATCATTTCCAGAAAAAAAATGTACACCGGATTTGACTTTCTTGTGGAGTTATCATCTGAGAAAGATGTTTCAGATTCTCATTGTTTAGACCAGGTAAGAGCTCTTCTTCTATATTCTGCAGGTCTGGGTGATAATTAGATGATATATATTGTGTTAAAAGATCTATTTCTTCTTTGTAATCTCTCAGTTAATGAGACAGATCATTAGAACCAGTAAAATTTATTAGTGTTGTGTTGACTAAAAACAAGCTCAATAGAAATTTATTTTGTTTTACTATATGTGACAAAGTCTCAGAGAAATTAAAAGTGGATCAAATAACCTAAAACATTTCACATCTTCTGGAGGACTGAGTCTGTTGGTGATGATATGGACTTTAAAGGGATTAGTTTGTCTCCTGAGTCATTAGATCACTTGAGATTCAGAATAAACTGCTCTTTATACGCTCCTCCATTTTATCACAGTCTGCACACTAAGATTTTCCTAAAAATATTTTAACACCCCAGTTTGACGTGACAGGTGGATGTGGAGTTGAACTGCACACAAAGTTTTAGTACCATGTTTGTTCTTTTCTCTTTGTCTGTCGTTGCTCATATGGGCAACGCACACCTGAAGAATAGGCTGCACACATCATGTTTTATTACTCATCGCACCACTTCTGATTTAGTTTCTTGACAGGTTTTCAGCACCTTAAAGTCAGACTGACTTGAAACACTGCATATTTTATTTGACCAAAGACTGACACAGACTTTGGTCATAATAAATAAAACCGGTGCTGTAAAGTAAAGGGAATGTGAGGGATTACATTGTACTCCCTGCCAGGTGTTTATGTCTCCGTAGTTTTCCAATAATTTGAATACACAGATTAGGATCCTTGAGTTTCACAATGTCAAATGCGTGACTGATTTGTGTAGCATTTAGAACATTGTGTTATTTTCTGAAATGGAGCTGTTCATTTTAATTTCCCCAGAGTCCATTGATTCATTCCTTGGAGCACAATTCAACATTTTAAAGGTTTTGGACATATTATACATCATTTAACACACCTCAGGGGCGTTTGTGTCCCAAGTCTAATTTTACTGAGGGTGGGTTTAAATTCAGGCTGTGCCACCTTATATGAAAGGTTTTTAAAACCTGGTTTTGACATCACCTCAGTGTCGAGAGACAATGACGGCACAGACTCAGCCACTCAGCTTCACTGTATTTGTTGTAAACATCTGCTAAGTGTTTATACATCACTTATTAATGCCAAATAGAGGGACCATAGAAGACAATAAAGAATAACTCAAGCCAATTAAAATATATATCATTTTACTGGAAAGGTTTGTTCCCTGTTTTGAGTTTAAAATCTAGTGTCACTTACGATGAGTAAAGCCAAGAATCCTGGGGAAAGTGCCATATCTTTTTGGTCGTTTAAAATTCAAGAGAAAATCCTGATCTCCAGTAGAAACTATTAGTTTTAACAATGTCACTGTGAGAATGCTGCAATGCTAATGTTAGCATTTAGCTCAACGCCCTGCTGTGCCTGAGTACAGCCTCACAGTACTGCCGGCGTGACTCTCATAAAAAGTTTTCCTTGGTTTGCTATCGGGACTGGGGTTTCACATGCTGTTCAATGTTCTGGGTGTTGGATACCTGGTGTTTGCTTTGAGCCAGAGGTCATGACCCTCTACAGGTCCCTGTTAGTCAGAAGCTAGTTTGACGTCCTTCCAGAAAGTTATCACACGCCAGTTACGTCCAATTTTAAAAACTTATAACAGCTCCTCCTGCACATGTGGAACACTCTGGCTTTAACATTTTAAAACTAGATTTCTGCTTTATTGGCATCAGGAGCATGTAGGGGAAACACAAGCAGTCCAAGCTCACCAGTCATTGTTCTCATGCACCTGAGCCGCTGTAGCTTTGACTCTTAGTTAGATTTTTCAGGGAGTGCATGTCAGCGACAGCATGGCATCACTTTGGAACCTGTGCAGTAACGGGTGTAGTGTAAATCCACCTTAATCCAAAGTGTCTCACCTGATACCATTCTCACTATGTTATGTTTATATTTTCACACATCAGGAGAAAAGCCCACAGTTTTACAGACAGAAGCATCAATGAGAAAATAAATATTTATGCAGTAATTCGTGACATGTTCGTGTCCTTGCGCAGATCTGGGCTCCTGAATGATTCAGAGCATCATCTGTAGCATCGGTGCAGTGACATCTCGCTGCAGACGGATGAAGCATTCATCCTTGTCTGGTTTCCTTTCACTGACCCAGAACTCAGCATGTGTTCCTCAGTCTCTGCTCAAATAGCCTCATGTAATATTCAGGTTAATGAGATTAGTGAGATCATGGTGGTGGACAGAGGTTCCTATCAAAAGGAAATGAATGATCACAGGAATAGTAGCATTAGAGCCATCAATTAAGTAAGCCAGCTAAAATATTTAAATATGGCAGTAGATCTGCGACAAGTAGGCCACTGCTGGAGGCGCCGTCTGTTTCTCTGTTTCTCCTTTTGTTGATCTGTCTCTTGCCTTTCTTTCTTCTTTGCGGTTTTTCTTTGAGTCTCACCTTTTCTGCTCTTCTTTATCCTCTTTGATTCATTCTTGCTGTGCAGCTCTTTCAAGCCTGGATCTGTATCAACAGCTGTACTTCAACACCACTACTGCTATTACTACAACAGCTACTATTGATACTACTAATATGCTATGTGGTATTCACATTGACACTCAGTTTAAAATCTACAAGTGCTGTAAACGAAGACACACAGAGAATACAAATGGAGAAACATTTGGGAAACTTCAAAATAAAAGCCCTTTAGCTGTGAAACAGCAAATAAACTGTGTTAAAATGAATATAAAAGCAATTATTTTATTTTTCAGGGACAGATGTAACAGATGTACTAATGCCACAATCAGACTGCACAACATTTTGTGCTTTGAGATGAGCCCATCACTGATTTACTACAAGATATTTGTCTCAGAGGCTGGTGGAGACCAAGAGCAGAGCTAAAAGGAAAGTGAATGTCTGACTTACATTCATCAGACAGACACATATGAAGGGATGTTCCTTTTGCTCTGTGTCTGTAGATGTGAAAGCAGGCAGCTGTTTTCTATGACAGGAGCTGTCTATAGGTGTGTTGCCACCAGAAAGCCCCCAGTACTTTTTTTTCCAGGAACTAAAACCCAAGAACAGTCCTGGGGTTAAAGACCCTCGAGTGCTTTGTGATGTGCAGTTTCACAGGAGGGCCGAAGCTCAGGAATGATTAAACACGGTAACCCGCTGATGTAAAAGCATGACGGTCAGCAGCGGAATTGTAAGAATGCCCCATGTAAAATGTTTGCTGTGGTTAACACATTGCAGTAGTGGAGGACAGACTGCAGGTGAAGCTGAAATTAACACTTTATTTTTATTGCAACACAAAATAATATGTAAACAAAAAAGGACAGGACATGGAAGACAAGACAACAGATACAGCACATTACAAAGAGATGTAAAGTGTTTGACATGATTGGTGTGTGTGTGTGTGTAAGTAAGTAAAGGTTTATTTATATAGCACCTTTCACAGATAAAATCACAAAGTGCTTCACAAAGTCAACAATGCAGAAAGCAAAACAAACAAAACAATATGCCAAGAACACCAACAGATAATATACAAAAACCATAATAAAAATAAATTAAAACAAACTATAAAATCAACTAAAAGCCTGACTAAACAAATGTGTCTTCAGCTGCTTCATAAAACCACCACCAGATTCGTTCGGCCATGCGTAAAGACAGCAACGCATTCCACAGTCTAGGAGCCACAGCCTGAAAAGACAGGTCCCCCCTAGTCTTCAAACGGGTTTTGGGGACCACTAAAATGGCCTGACTTGAGGAGCTGAGAGCACGCTTCGGAAAATATGGGGTCAATAGGTCAGCAATATACTGAGGAGCCTGACCATGAAGTGCCCTAAATGTTAGCACTAAAATTTTAAAATCAATTCTAAACCTGATTGGTAACCAGTGAAGTGAAAATAAGACAGGCGTAATATGAGCTCTTCTAGGGGTTCCTGTTAAAAGCCTTGCTGCAGCATTCTGCACAATCTGAAAACGATTTACAGTTGAGTTATTGCATCCGATAAGAAGGGAATTACAGTAATCAAGACATGCAAAGATAAAAGCATGGATAATCATCTCCAGGTCAACCTTTGATAACATTTGCCTTAATTTAGAAATATTCCTCAGATGATAAAAACAATTTTTTACCACCTGTCTTACATGGCAATCAAGAGACATAGTTTGATCAAACACAACACCAAGGTTTCTGAGGCTCGACTGGACAGAGGAGCCCAGTGAACCAAGGCGTTGTCTGATTGACGGGATCTTATTATCAGGCGCAATAATCAGCACTTCAGTCTTATTTGAGTTTATATGAAGATAGTTACTGTTAAACCAGTTGTTGATGGATGACAAGCACTTTAACAATGAAGCTAAAAAAATGGAACTCAGAGTCATTAAAAGAGCAATAAATTTGAACATCATCCGCATAAAGATGATAAGACACCTTCTTAAAACACCGAATTATCTGCCCAAGAGGATAGATATATAACAGAAATAAAAGTGGACCCAAGACTGACCCCTGTGGGACACCACATGACAAACCAGCCACATCTGACATAACATTATAGCAACATTAAAAGTTTGATCGCTTAGATACGAAGAGAACCACTGGAGGACAGATCCGGAGAACCCTAGTTCAGACTGAAGCCGACCTATCAAGATTCCATAATTGATTGTGTCATAAGCAGATGTTAAATCTAATAAGACCAGGACTGTATAGCGGCCGGAGTCTGCGGCCATCCTTAAGTCACTTGAGACTTTAAGTAAAGCAGTCTCAGTGGAATGTATCTTTCAAAAACCTGACTGAAATTCATTAAACAGTTTATTCTGCTCCATAAAAGTAATAAGCTGTCCTGCTACCACTTTTTTCAAGACCTTTGCCATAAAAGGGAGTTTTGATATTGGCCTATAATTCTTAGGCTCAGAGTGATCAAGACCTGTTTTTTTAAGAATTGGATTTACAATCGCATGTTTAAAATAACCAGGGACAGATCCAGTTGCAAGTGAGAGATTCATTAATTTCACAATCCAGGGACCAATCAAATCAAACAAACTTAAAATCAAAGCTGTAGGTAGTGTACAGTCTACAAAACAAAACAAACAAACAAAAAAGCAACATTTCAAAATAAATAAATAAATGAAATTTGAAAAAAGAGGGAGGGGAAAAATTGGGGTGTGAGGGAGTGGTGAGGACGATTTGAACCAGCAAATAAGTAATAACAACGAGGGGCGTGTAGGTAACATTTGTGCCCCGAATCAGAGGCACCACAACAAGCTGAGGTCACCACTGGGTAGCCATAGACCCACTCAGTGGGGAGAGGTTGGCCAGGAGGGCAGGAGCTTTATTTTATAGTTAAGTTCAGCCTTTCCTCTGTTTTATTGTTTATCATGATTTGTTACCAGGTGGTAAGAAGGTTCCGAGTTTGAGAACCGGTGTCTTTATCTATACCGATTATCCTGAATAGGGTCGCGGGGGGTCTGGAGCCAATCCCAGCTGTCACTGGTCCACCCCGGACAGGTCGCCAGTCTGCCACAGGGGCTGACAAACAACCACACACACTCCTACGGACAATTTAGAGTCACCAGTCAACCTAAGCTGCATCTCTTTGGACTGTGGGAGGAAGCCGGAATACCTGGAGAGAACCCACACAGGCACAGGGAGAACATGCAGACCCCACACAGAGAGGCCCTGGGTGCTAACCCCTGTGCTACCACACAAACACCAAAACCATATTTTCCAATCCACTAATCTTAGTCACTGGTCCCTCTGATAGAAACAAAGGTTTTATGTCCAAAGTTTGCATCTGTCAATAAAATAAATCAATTAATGCAACTTTATTAATGTTTATTGGATTTGTCAAATACAAAACTGATGAAATATTTACTGCCCTGTTACCGACTCTTGTCACCTTACAGCTCTCCACCAGTTCTTCTCCCCCCCCACCCCCACGAGCCCCCCCGCCAGCACTGTGACAGGGCTGGAGCTCTACAGCGACAATGCCTCTCCAATGTCTCTGGGCTCCAGCGTTTTCTTCAGTGAGACAACAGTGTCCTGTGTCACAGGTCCGCTGGATTTCTTCATCATCAACGTCGGGGGAAGTCGCTATGTGCTGTCGCAGGAGCTGCTGGCGTCCTACCCAGAGACCCGGCTGGGGAAACTGGCCTGCTGCAGCCGTGACTTGGCTCTGGAGCTCTGTGATGATGCAGATTTCTTGGAGAACGAGTTCTTCTTTGACAGAAATTCACAAACCTTCCAGTAGGTGGTGCCTGTTTCTTCTCTTTGAGGCATGCAAAACGTCCTGCTGCAATAACAACACCGAACATGATATCGTTTACAGTAAAAACAGGGATAACATATTCACTTACTCCTGGCTGACATTTGTAGTGTTGCACTTGGTTTATCACATGACAAATTAGCTTAAAGTGAAGTTCAAACAATACTTACTTCTCACCTCTGCACAGATCTGAAGCCCCCTGAGCCGTAACCAAAGTGGCCTCTTTGCCTCCTGTTAGCTTCTCAGCAGCTATGCAGCTTCTTGACTTTTTGATATCTGTGCAAACAGAATCCTAACTGTCTCTGTGCATTTCTGCTGACAGGTATGTGATGAACTACTACCGAACAGGTCACCTGCACGTCAGGGAGGAGCTGTGTGAGATCTCCTTCCTGCAGGAGATTGAGTATTGGGGAATTGATGAACTTCACATCAACCCCTGCTGCCGCGAGCGCTATTACCGCCACAAGGACCAGAAGGAAACCAGCAAAGTTCGGAAAGAGTCTGAAGTTAAGGACAGAGATGAGGACTTTGTTGGCGCTACCTGTCCGGTTTTCCGTCGGCGCCTGTGGGACCTGCTGGAGAAACCCGACTCATCACGGGCTGCTCGCACCTTTGGCACATTCTCAGTCTTCTTCGTGGTGGTGTCATTAATCAACATGGTGCTCATCTCACTGGACTTAGGTGAGGACTTTGGTGTGAGCAGCTTCGGCATCAGTGCCCCTTTGCTGTTTGACACACTGGAGTACGTCTGCGTGGTGTGGTTCACAAGCGAGCTGGCGCTTCGGTTTCTCTGCGTGAGAGATAAGTGCAGGTTCAGTCGGAGCATTCCCAACGTCATTGACCTACTGGCCATCCTGCCCTTCTACGTGACGCTGGCGGTGGAGTGTCTCCATGGAGGAACCACTGAGCTGGAGAACATGGGCCGTGTGGTGCAGGTCCTGCGCCTCCTCAGGTCCCTCCGCATGCTGAAGCTGGCACGACACTCAACAGGTAAACACGTCTACAGGTGAGGCAGTTTTTTGAAAACCCAAAGTGGAAGAGTAACGCGAACACGTGGATTGAAAGTTGTGGCCTCTTTAAAATTTAGACATTTTTCTTTATTATTCAGTAGCCTAACCTTGAAAATGTCCCACACACCCAGAGGAAGCATCATTTTAATAATAAATATGACTCTACAATGGAGAGAGCATGTTCATCTTCTTGGGCCTATTTAACTTTGAAATCATCTCTTTTTTGTTTTAAGAAAAAACTGTATTTTTTCATTATTTCATTCAATATTCAGTGCAAACCACTAAAATGTAAAAACCCACCAGACACTGCCCAAACTGGGCCTCTGCTGTTAGCTTGTGTAGAAAATGTGGCCGTGCACAAGGTTGTTTTGAAGGATAATAAACATGAACAAGATATGGGTCATTTCTGAAAACAGACATCATAAAGTTTAGCTTAAAAAACAGAACTTGATGATATGTAATGCTTCTTAAAAAGAAGCAGAGCAAACAGGACCCAAGTACACAACAGCTTCCGAAGCAGCATGAGAGAACACGGCTTATCGTGAGTCCACATGAACAGAATCAGGCAGGGAGAAGCAGAGGTGAACTCAGGAGCATGCAAACTGTTCAAACTGAGCAATGAGTCCAGAGTGGAAACAGATGAGAGGTAAAGTCTACCAACAGGTGAGTAAATCCAAAAACTGGATACACAGGGAAAACAGGAGCAGTAGGAAATGGCCTGAACAGTAAGGTGCAATAGACAATCTGACAAACAGCAAGAGGAACTGACTGGGAAGTGAAAGAGGGAGGGGTGTGTGTGTGTGTGACTGGGACAAAGGGAAAGTCCAGAGACCTCTAGAGGCCGGACAAGGAAATGACAATCCATAAGAGATAACGAGAGGCACGGGGCTGAGACAGGAAGTGGGACATGGCAGGACATTCAGTGTTGGTGCAGCCTCACTCTGAGCAGGTCAAGTACTTGCTTGAGAAAAGATGCACAAAAAGATTAGTTTTTTTTTTTTACTCAGCTTCCCTGCATGTGTGTTTCTAACCTGGATTTCAATTCAGTGAACATCCAGACTGAAGTGCTCCTCAGTGAGAAGCTCCTGCTGTGAGATTACAGCACGCAGGTTTTCTGAAGACCACAAAGAATGACTGATATTTTTGGAAATGTGTGTGTGTGTGAGGATATGTGTATGTAATTACATTGTTTGTGCATGTGTGTGCTGGTGTGTGTGTGTGTGTGTCAGACTGAGTACTTTGATCTGGGAAATGTGGATTTCCCTGAACTCACCTCATGAATAATGAAAGAAAACATGGAGGGAATGAAGGAAATGAAACAAGGAAAAATCAGAAGGCAAAGACTGAAGGAGAAATGTAAAAGCAAGAGCGAAAACCAGGTTATGAATATGAACACTGTTCAGTCACGGAAAATGCAATGTAGGGTTCAGTTTGAGGTTATTTTTTGGGGGTAGGTCAGATCTTATACTATAGTAATGTTGACATACCTAAAACAAAGAGTACTTCATGGGGAAACGGATCAGCGCAGTTCTGTTAATGTAAGGGGCCTAATGAAGTAGTTGTATGGAAGGACTGACTCATTTATTAAAACCATAAACTGTATATAAAGATGGATGACCTGACAGCTCCCCCAAGTGAAGCCACTGTGAGTAGATCGCCCCCTGGTGGCTGGTTGCAGTAGGGTCACAAACCCCAGATTCTGCTGCATAGAATCAGGATGCAAAATGTCCCACCAAAGCAAGATGGCTGCTAACAAGTTGCTTCCAGATGTGTAAACATAAAGTTATCTGTCTACATGAATAGCAGACTATAACAATACAACTTGAGCTTTTTAACCTGTGTATGTGTTCATATCTTTTGTGTAATGACTCTGTTGTAAGTCGAGCTCAGCACAATTTTAAATGACTATTTGAGAATAAAAGAAATGTCTGGACCGCCATCTGGCCACTGTACCGGAGCCCAGAGGGACAAACCTTAGACAAGTCAAACCAACTCAGATTAACCTGCCAGACACAGGGACATGTGGTTATACTGTTCAAATACACCACATCTATTTTAAACATTTTTCCTGGTGTAAAGGTGCAGTAAACACTCTCTGTGCGCTCCACACTACAGAAAACCTCTTTATGAGCTCATCTCAAATCCTCATTCAGCCTGGCACCAGAGCTCATTTCTTTTAGTCTCGGAGGAGAACGGAGAGATGACAGGTCATTGTGGGGTCTGAATGTCGGGCCTGTGAGCAGCTCACATATGGGTACATTTATACATTAGCTGCTTCCTCTTTCTGCCACTTATTTCCTCCACTCTAAACAGTCTCAGCCCTCAGACTTTCAGGAAGGAAAGGGAGAAACAAGAAGGAAGCAAAGATGCTGACACGTCACTCAGACATCTGGAGAGAGAAACATAACAAACACAAGTTTCTTTACAAAATGAAAACTGTGGAATCACAGTTGTGCCTTTCCTTATGCAAGCAACTGTGTAGATCGATGGATGATACATGAAGAAAAAAATTTAATTGACAATAATTAGCTACAGAAGTGATGCCTTCTTTTTTATCCCTCTGTTCTTCTGTCTGTCCAGGCCTGAAGTCTCTGGGTATGACCATCACTCAGTGCTATGAGGAAGTTGGCCTCCTGCTCCTCTTCCTCAGTGTGGGCATCTCCATCTTTGCCACAACAATCTTTGCTCTGGAGCATGACTTCCCTGCTACCACCTTCACCAGTGTGCCGGCTGCGTGGTGGTGGGCAACCACCTCCATGACCACAGTTGGCTACGGGGACATCAGACCCGACACAACTGTAGGGAAGGTGCTGGCCTTCCTCTGCATCCTGTCCGGGATCCTGATCCTGGCACTCCCCATCGCCATCATCAACGACCGCTTTTCTGCCTGCTACTACACGATGAAGATGAAGGAGGCTATGATGCGGCACAGCGAGATGTTGAAGAGACTGGCCCGAGGTTCGATGGGGGAGACGGGGGAGAGAGGAGTGGGGGGAGGTGTGAACCTGAGGGATGCCTATGCTCGGAGCATCGTGGAGGTGTTGAGGCTGCAGGGTCGAGAGAGGGCGAGCACCTGGAGTGGTGTGGGAGAGGAACAATGGTGGTAGAACCAGGACACAAGACTCAGACCAGTCCAGACCTGGGGATGGGGGGTTGGGGGTGGGAGGATTACTGTTTTGTTAACCCCCGCTGAAAAGTGATTGGCTGAGGGGTTCATGAACACGGCACAGACACCTTCACTGCTGTAAGCACTGATGCTCCTGACCTGTCCTGTCCACTGGATGAAATCAGTCCCAGCTCTGAGCTTAGAGCATTTAAACATTTACATTGTTTTACCTGAAATTATTTAGATTTTAATGAATCAGAAAGTGTAAAGGTGGCTCACCTTACGATACCCAGTCTGTTACATGAGCTGGGTAGATTTGGTTAGAAATTCAGGGCCGATTAACTCCAAAAGGCACCACTGAGGTTTGCAACAGCCCATAATTCAGCAGTGTGTAGAAGCCTGTGTTCCACTGATACATTCATAAAGAACATCTAATGCTGAGAATACATTAATGTCTTGTCCTCAGATGTATCACAACCCTGCTTTTTCTCATGTAATCTTTCTTATATTCTGGCTGATCTGTAAATTGACTAATCATTTGATTAACTGATGGTGAAAATGATGAAAGTTAGTTGCAGCTGAGCTTTGTACAAAGGAAATAAGAAGCAGGACTCAAACAAAATGCTGCAAAAAGTTTGATTTTTTTCTGTCAGACACTTCAGTAAATGAGCAGCCAGTCTTCGATGTCCTGGTCTGAAGTCAAATCTAGGTCAATTGTCAGGAAGTTAAAATATTCATCAGGGATGTGGGTGGAAGTGGTGGACTCCTGTGATGTGGTCCTCTGTGGTTTCACTTCGCAGCTCATCTCTTCTGTTGTGGACTCAGTATGTGGATTTTGTACACAATAGGGGCCAGAACTGTTCATTGGGTTTTACTTAGAAATATGTGTTTTGTCTTTTTGGATCACAAACAAATGTTTAAACTGTTGTATTTTTTGTTTCAGCAGTTAATCTGTATAAAATTATGTCTTACTTTCTGTGATTTGATGTTAATTTACAGTATTTTTTTCATGATTAACACTAGTTGCACAGACAAAAATGTGAATTACATCTCTGTTTATGTTATATACAACTAACAGGCTAGTAGGACTGAGCATCAGGCCTGTTACAGACATGGTGTGAAGAGGAACATGGAACGGAATCGACTGCTAGCAGAGATGCACTTACAAACAATAGTCACCTAAGCAAAACTGAACTGTTTTGCAATCATGACTGAATTAAGATAGTTTACCATCTGTGTTTCAAAGCGCCCATTGTGCTGATGGTGATTTTTGTGCATCCCTGTCCCTGGTTCCCTAAAAATGATCTTTAAACTGTGTACTACTAATGTGCAACAATAGATTTGTTCAGAACAACACATCCCACCACCCAGAAGAAAACATGTTTTTAATAATATCTATAAAGTTGTTAATCTATGTACAAAATATTCATAGAACATGTTTATTATTCACCCCGAATAACCACAGAAAGCACATGTTTATGGTTTACTTGACTGTACTGTGGAAATGTTCATAATCTTGGCTAAATACAGAAAATATCCGTGTTCAACTTGTCCATTGATCACAACCTTAAACAACAGGGTTTTGCCTAAACTGAACCAAACATGGAGCAAAAGACCCTAAACCAACAAGGAAGATGTACAGTGATATTATTATAAATTTGTTACATACAACTAATAGACTCAGCTCTAGAGCTGTTACATACATATGTTATGTGAGAAAGACAAACAACATCAGGGTAAATGCAAGGAGCCCGGACTGACTATTGTTTGCTGCTACAACATGTGCTTCTGCACATTTTCTACAAGAATCAGTGAACAAGCACCTGTCAATGAAAAGTAACTGTTGAGATGTTAGAAATGCACACATCAGCTCCTCTGTGCAACATAAGCCCCTTTTCCACCAACTGGTACCGGCTTAACTTGACCTATTTGTGTTTCCATGAGTCACATATTGGGGTAGTACCTGGTGCCTGGTACAATATATGGTATCCCCTCCATCGAGGTTCCCAGTGAGCGGAGAAGATACCAAACGTTGATGCGTAAACACTGCAGGCTAGTGATTGGTCGGAGAAATCACGTCTTAAACATGGAAGACATCCTGGAACAAAGAAAGTGACATTTTTAAAAGCACCGGTATTTAACACTAGCCACTACTTTACTGTAGTTACTGTATTAACTAAAAACAGCCACATAGCGAGAATCAAGAACAGCATGCCTTCAATGTGATGCTGCTAGGACAACCAGCTACACTGAGCGGGGACCATCTGCAGTGGTAAACCAGGCACCTGGTACCGAAAAAGAGTCGAATTGGAACCAGGCGACGGACAAGCACCTATACTTTACCTATAATCCTCTTCTCTGTGTTAGCAGAGACATTTTCAGGCAGGAGAAGCATAATTCCAGATTGGGACTGTAAGAAAGCAGATTGTAGCGCCCCCTATGGGTCAATCAGTGCTGCTTTTTACAGTATATCCAGGTAATTGCAAAAATAGGTAATTGGGTTGAATCTGCAGAGAAACAATGAAACATAAGAAAAATCTATTGAATGCATTGTTTGCTGATTGAAAACTGGATTTGGTTCCTCAGCAACTGTTTAGTCTGTGTCGAGAATTTTGTGTGCTCCTGTTGTGTGAGGTTGTCTCTGTGCACCACCGTTAACACAACCTCCTGGCAGAGTAAGTGCTGTATACAAGTCAGTGCACAGCCCTACAGGCTGTGTCCTGGCCATGGTACCTCCCCTGTGTACTTTCTGATATCACTCTGGGAAGAGCATTCTGCTGGGGGTCAGAGTGCTCTTTTCAAATGCCACAGCGATGGCCTGAAGGCCTGAGGCTAGAACTGACCATGCTTTCTTCTTTCCTACAGACTTGTTTTGAGACTGAGTATGGACTTGATGTCAGGTGTTTTAGCAGACTGTTGGAGATTTCCATTATCACAGCTCAAAGTAAAAAACACAGACACATAAACACGTTATACCAGGTTGGTTTATTCCTGTTATACACATCAGCAAACTATAAGGATTTAAGCTCTATTGAACTTACAGTTGTGAGCTTCACTGAGACTGAAAAGTTCCACTAAAAGCTCAGTGTTAGAAGTGTTTTGAGTGATCATTTTATTTGTGATAATGATGTAACACAAGCTTCTCACATGCACTTTTAGCTCTGACACTAAGCTCTGCTGCAGCAAGTTCTCTTCCTCTCTCATTTATACTTTTCATTTTACACTTTTATTTCAGGCAATCAGGTGATGTGAGCCATTCACGTGGGTCACATAGCCTATCTAATACAAACTATACAGAGCTGAAAGTAGAAACCTGTCTTGTCTTCTTTCAGCTTTAAAATTGCTCCGGATGTTTTCTCAGGTTTTCTTGGTGTCACCTACTGTAATAATTATCACTTTGTTATTATTAAAGAAAAATGGGAACAACAAGAAGAAAAGATAGGAGAGCTTTCACAACATAATGGACGTTTACTCAGAGATCTGTCTGCTTCTCAAATGAAGAGACATTATAAAAGCTTTTCACCGGCAGTTATATATGTGACAATAAGCTGGCAGCTAAAGTGTTCTCCCCGTCTGCTGTTTGAGCAGAACACTTTGTGGTTTCACTTTTGTTTTACAGAAGAGAGAGAAGATAAGGAATCCATACTGCTCTGCTGCTGTTTCAGTGTATTTATTTCTCAGCACTGAACAACAAAAACCTACTGACCTCAGTTTAATAGCTTCTTTCATACATTATAATTATGAAGTGTTTTGGAAAGTGGTACATACATCTAAGATTGTAGGTAAATCCAACAGCCCTCATCACACTGGACATTGGTTACAACAGGGAAAAGGAAGAAAATATCTCACAGTACTCTGTACAGGTAGGTGGGGGCATTGAGCAAGTGGTGACGTACACCTAGACATGTCACAGGGCTGACACACAACCACTCGCACTGAAATCAGAGCCACCAGTCAACCAAACCTGCAGGTCTGCAAGAAGAAGCCAGAGTACTCAGAGAAAGCCCACGCAGGCAGAACATGCAGACTCCACATAGAAAGGCCCAGGTCTGCTGTGAGGCTCAAACCCGGAGCTTCTTCCTGTGAGGTGACAGTGCTAACCACTGCTCAATGTGCCACCACACCCCTGATCAATATCACTACAGGGTTAAGTAATTATGATCTTGTCCATTTAATACAATGTGTTGGTTTTGAGCCAAAGATCAAGAAGAAGGAAGAATAAGGCCAATGAATTAGAAAAACAAAAGTGTTTGACTAACTGAAGTTTAATGATGGGGCCATATTTAAGATCCAAAGGCAACCGAAGCCAGAAAACCCTTCATTAGTCGGACGGCATTATTTATTTATTTATATTTTGTAAGTTCACCTTTGTTTTTGAAGACAGATGTAGCAGATATGCTGCTGTTTGTCCCCTCAGCTTTAAGACACTGTAGAGGTGTTGTGTTCAGGGGACGTACTCGGTCAGGTCATAGTTTTCACTTTATTCTTCTTGAAAGCCCTTGTGTGATTCATGCAGTGTATTGGAAATTTAAACTCCTGCTGAGCTTCTTCAGATGAGGAGTCATCTTTTCATTCACTGTACTGCATATGTATACAAAGTATAAACCTATAAACCTATAAACCTCTCTGCAGCCCCCCATCAGCACACTCCCTCCTCCATGTTGCGGTCACTGCTGCCAGGATTCATCAGGCTCCTCTTGGGATTTACATGACTTTTTAAGGCACGTTTAAAGTAAATGTAGTCCTCAGAAACTCTCAGTGCTTCAGAGTAGCTGCAGATGGACTCATGCACACTACTGTAAGGTACACATTAATCACACCCTCCTCTCATGTCCTCTTTATCACGACTGATCTGGCTAGAAAAACTGTGGGCTGTTGTGACCTTTGACCTCCTGACTACCGGCTATTTTTATGATCTAGGAGCTTCCTCTGTTACTATCCTCACTGTGAGGTCTCACTAGTTGAGAACATTTGCTATTCAAATGACTAAAATGCAAATGTGATGTTCCAGTTTTTTCTCGCTGTGCAGCCAAAGGCATCAAACAGAGAATTCAGGTCAGCTGTGAAGGCAGGCAGGAATCTGACAGATGGAAGAGGAAGGAGGGGGAAAGAAGATGCATGTTTAGACCAGGCTGACCTTCATCCATGTTAGTGATGGTCCATTTTACAGATCTGAGATGGACCAGCCTAAAAACAGACAGCAACTCGACCTGAAGCTGAACGTCAAGCACTCAGATGTTCCTGTGTATGAACTCTAGATTCTGATGTTCATATTTATCTGTGGAGCTTCAACCAAAGCGCTGAGGAATCTGTAGAGAAGTTAACAGCGTATGTACCTGCTGACAATGTTCAGTTTGTGTTCAGGCTGTTTCACAAAGGCGTCAATTCACCTGTGCGATCATTTGGAGGCTGGAGCTAGTGCTGCTCTGTACTACATTATACAGAGAGCTGTTTGTGTCATTTAGCCCAGCCTCACTGATGGAAATACAGCAGCACAGCCTCCAAAATGATCACACAGTGGAGGTCCTTGCCTCAAATTCTGACATCTAGCTCTGTCAGTTTCTATTGCTTTGAGCATCACAGGAAAACCTTCTGTCCTACTTAAGGCTGTCTCAGTCGAGACAGGCTTCTAATCCCCTCAAGCCTGTGGTGGTTCCCCAGAGAACCTTCTGGTTGCAGTAGCTCACAGCTCGACTCATTGCTCCGTCTCCTGTCTTCTCTTTTTATTCAACAGAAGCAGTCAGAAGGCAGCAGAGGCACAGAGCAACCTTTTTAAAGCGCTACTGAGTAAAACCAATATTATACCACTCAACAGAGCCATAAATCTTTATGTCTGACCTGATGTGTTCACAGGGGATTTTTACACGGAGGGGCAGGAGTGTGGAGCCACACAACTAGAGAGTAAGAATACCAGTGTAGAAATATTGTGTTAAAGGTGAGAGTCCTGTGTTCAAAATGTTACTTAAATAATTAAATAAAAGTACAAATCTACATGAAGTACCAACAGTACCAGTACCCATCCTACAGAATGGCCCATGTCACATTAATGTCTCTGATACTACTGGATCCTACTGACTGATACATTACTGTGTTCATCACTTTAATGCTGCAGCTGGTAAAGGTGGAGCTGATGTTAACGACCTTATATACTTATACTGTGAAGTACTTTACATCCTGCTGGGTAGCTGGTGGATTTCCCACCAGGATCAATAGAGTCTGATGATTCTAAGTGTGTTTGGTTTGATTCATCTGATTCTGAAAAGGAAGTGAAGTTATCAGATACATGTAGTGCAGTAAAAAGTACTAGGTTTGTCTCTGACAGGTAGTGGAATCACAGTGTGAAATAGGTCAAGTTCAAAGTGATTATT